CCCCCCCCCCCCGGGAATGGGATTGGAACCCACATTTTCACCTATCCATATCTGACAAAATATGTCATCTCCAAGAATTTTCTAGCTCATCCAGGCAATTATATGGTATATAGTGGAACCTCTAGAACAAATTAATAGCATTTCAATATATTTTAATGGGAAAAATTCACCTTGAGATAAGAGTGTTTTGAGTTAAGAGCTTGGTCACAGAACTAATCAAACTCTTACATCAAGGTATCATTGTACTTCCACCAGATAATACCATAGAGTTGCATTGGAGGACCCAGCAAATTCCTAGAGATGCTATCTCTGTAGGAAATGGTTGGGTCCTCTGGGATTTGTTTTTGGTAACTTCCAGCAGAAATCATTCATTTCAATAGGTTTCACTATTATCCATGTTTTCCTGTTTATATAGTAAGTTCACAAATGTATCCCTTAGGGTCACACTGAGTTTTTTCAAAAAACGATTAAATTGACAGGAAAGCTTTATTTTTCACTGTTAATGAAAGGAACTGGGTCCTTCTTTGTTAGGCCCTTTATGTTTCCTCAAGGAAGCATTTCTTAGGTAAAGATGAGAACGACTTCCTTGCAGTGACTCAGTACCTCCATGGAGGCAACTCGAGGCAGTTTACATTTAGCAATCAATGCCCCACAAGATAAAATACAGTCAAAAATAATTACATATAATATAAACCATATAAAAACAATAAACAATTAACAATTAAAACCATAAAGTACAGTTCTCAGTGTCTCATCATTAAAATAATTTTCCATTGCATTGTCCTGATGTTCCATGAGTTGCAATTAATCAATTATACTGTGTCTGCAAATGTCTGCTCGAACAGCCAGGTCTTAACTCTTTCAAAATGTCAGGAGGGATGGAGCTGATCTAATATCCCTAGGGAGGGCGTTCCATAGCTGGGGGGCCACTGCTGAGAAGGCCCTGTCTCTTGTTCCCACCAATCGGATCTGTGAAGAAGGTGGGACCGAAAGCAGGGCCTCTCCAGCCGATCTTAAACACCTAGATGGTTCATAGGAAGAGATGCGTTTGGACAGGTAAACTGGGCCAGAACCATTTAGCGCTTTTAGAATCAGAATTTCAAAGGATCATTTACCACTACATATGCCTATCTGTATCCATATGTACACTACATCTGGAAGACCATCATCCTCGATCTATGAGGGTTCGCCTAAGCAACTAAGTAAGTCATATGTACAAATGCAGATAATTAGCAGAAATATTTAAGGTATCCCCGCACTAGCTGAGGTACAATAGGTAGTCATGGGGAAATGTTCTTTCCATAACCACATCCTAACTTTCAGATGCTGTCCCTGTGGAGGCTGGCAAATTTAGCAGCTTCTATTTGCTTCCACGAGCCAACCTTTTGTAACCCTATGTATTTTATAGGGTTTTTTCCTCAGGCAAGAAATACTCAGAGATGCTTTGCCATTGCATTGCTTTGATATATACCCTTTAGCACCTGATATTCCTTGGTGAGCTTTCTTCCAGAGACAAACAGTTTTTTAAAAATCCTCCAGTCATATTTATATAATCTTTTTTATCTCAGCTGTTTTATTTCTTCTCTGCTGATCTCTTTATACCTGCTGCTTTGCACAATGTATGTTAACAACCCTGGAAATTGGTTGTAAGGTGGAAGTAGAATTTGCTATCATAAATATATAAAATACATATTCCAGAGCAAGTTGTAGGAACACTAGTAATTTAGCATCTCATTATTCTTCCTTTGTTTGCTGGGGCAGCAATGTTTCCATCCATACCTCTTTATGGAGTATATCCAGAGCTGTCTTTATATTGTTTATGTAATTTTGAGGAGAATGCTTTACCTAGAAAAAAAAAGAGAAAAAAGAGAGGTTTTACATATTTATTTTATTTATTGACTTTGTTTATAACCCTCCTTTCTCCCTGTGGGAACACAAGGAAGCTAACAACCATATAGGAATATTTTTCTGAAAATATATTTGTGATTATTTCTGAGAACATTTTCCTCAACATTTCTTCATATATTTTTCTAAATGTATTTTGTGAATATTTTTTATTATTCCTGAGAATAATTTTATGATTATTTTTCAAGTAATTTGTTGACTATTTTTGTGAATATTTCTGCAAATATTTTGCAAATTCTATAACTCTTTTTGTGGCTATTTTAATGAATATTTCTGACAATATTTTGTGATTATTTCAATGATTATTTCAACAAATCTTTTTGTAAACATTTTATGAATATTTCTGTGAATATTTCTACATCTTTTGTGATTATTTTAATGAATATTTCTGCAAATATTTTATCAATATTTTTGAAATAATTTATTATTATTATTTTTAATATTTCTGCAAAGCAGGCTGAGAAGAGACATGAGATTCCATATGAACATGAGGAAGAACTCTCTAACTGTGAGAGTTGTTCAGTAGTGGAACTCTTTGCCCCAGAGTGTGGTGGAGGCTCCTTCTTTGGAGGCTTTTAAACAGGATGGCCATCTGTCAGGGGTGCTTTGAATGCAATTTTCTGCTTCTTGGCAGGGGATTGGACTGGATGGCCCACAAGGTCTCTTCCAACTCTATGATTCTATGGTTCTATGAAAAGTGAAGTGAATTTCACAATAATTGGACAGCATTTTCTTATATGCCATTGATATGCTCTGATAAGCTAGTGCTCCTCAGCACGTGGCTCTTGGCTGATTGCTGAACATGTAGATAAAGTGCCAGGTTTTCAGATTTCTCGCACCCAAACATCAGAGGCAAGCACTAAGTGTACAGGACTTCACCTATTTATTATGAGTTATCTAAATGTCTAACTTTATAATCAGAAAGTTATCTGTGAAATGAAGTAGCAACCATAAACAAATCAGTTCGAGTTCTCGATATGATTTGATGTGATTATCAGCCTTAGGTTGAATAACCTCTAGGCTCTGCACAGATATCTGTACATATGGCATAGATAGAGGGATAGATAGAGGGAGATATGCAGTAGGCCTGGGTAACAACGGAAAAATTTGTTTCTAAAATCGATTTGTATTTGGGGGGTTTTTTTGTTTCGATATTTAAAATAATTACAAAATTTTCCTTTTAAAAAGTTCGATATTTACGAAATTTCGTAAATGGTAAAAATTAACGAATCGATTTCCGAAACAATAACGAATCGATTCGTTAATGGCGGACGCGACCGCGAAATACGCTAAAAACCTCCAAAACCTTCTGAAGCTTCCCTCTCCCTCTGTTGTTGACTGTTGGTGTGATATTATAATTTTTTTTCACTAATTAAACCATAAAACTGGCCCAGACATGCGGAAATAATAACGAAACGACCTCAAAACAATAACGAAACGAATACAATATCAAAATACGAAGCATTTACAAAACGTTTTTGAAAATTCGTTTTTTTAATAATTGCTCCAGAATGGTTCGTTATCGTTTTGTAATTGAAAAAATTAACGAATTATTAACGAATTACGAATTAACGAAACCAAACCGCCCAGCCCTAATATGCAGATCTATAGATATAGATATGCAACATCATTTAAGGGACTCAAGGCTGAGTTCAATATAATTAAAATATTTGAAAAAGAACAATTAAAAAAGACTAAAAGTATAACCAATTCATAAACAAGACAATTTAAACCCAGTTAAAACCATTTGAGATATTGCCAAATGCAGCATATATCCAAATTCGATCAAGTCAGTTAGGCCCCAAAGTCTTTAATGCAAAGCTATGTTTTGACTTTGAGCTTGTTTTCACCAGCCACAAAGTCCTAAGAGAACCAGAAGCTGACAACAAGGCTCTTCCAGTCCTTAATGGGGAGTAAACTGGGTTGAATTGGTTTAGCAAGTTAAACCATTGATTTCATAGGGAGCTCCATTCCACTCTTTCAGACAGAATCATAGAGTTGGAGGAGACCACATGGGCCAATTAGTCCAATCCTCAGACATGCAGGAAAAGCACAATCAAAGTACTCCTGACAGATGGCCTTCTAGCCTCTGTTTAAAAATTTGCAAGGAAGGAGCTTCTACCACACTCTGGGGGCAAGAGTTCTTCCTAATGTTCAGGTGTTCGTAAGTATCTGTGTAATTTTTTGCAACATGCATATCATATCTGATTTTTACATTTATATTCTGCCTTTTTTTCTAGGGATTTCCTCGCCATTTTAACTGGATTTTAATTGGTTATTAATAGGAGCTGGTTTTTGCCTCTTGCATATAATGTGTTTTATTTTAGCACATAATTTTATACTTATTGTGATTATTTGACTTTATAATTTAATATGTTTATGGTTCCTTTTCATTATATGTTTTTGCCTTGGGTACTGTTTATTTGTTCCTTTTGGCATTGAATATTTGCCATTTTTGTTTTTCTTGTGAACCGACCTGAGTCCCTTTGGGGAGAGAGAGTGATTTATAAAGTTTTATTGTGTGAATCTGCTTGATTATTGTATTTTGTTACTGTAATTTATTTTTATTTTATGTTATTTTTAATGTATTTTCTCTTGTATTTTGGATTTTACTGTGTTGTATTGCATTTTCAGAAGGGCTTCGCCTCATGTTAGCTGCCCCAAGTCCCCATTGGGGAGATAGAGGCAAGGTATAAATAAAGATGATGGTGATGATAATGATTATTATGTATATTGTATTTTGTTGTAAGCCGCCCGAGGGGAGAGGGGGCAGGATACAAATAAAGCATTGTTATTATTATTATTATTATTATTATTTTCATCATCATCATCATCATCATCTCAACTTTCTTACTAAGGTTAGGCTGAGATATTGTGAGTGACCCAAGGTCACTCAGTGACCTTTATAGATAAAAGGGGGTATGTAAGTCTTACATTGATGTGATTGATGTTTATGAATTGTATTAATCTTTACCACATTTGTATACCACCTTTGTTGGATTTTAATTTTAACGTCTGTGATTCACCCTTTTTTGTTTGATTTAATCCTTGATTTTGTGTGTGATGGATGCCATGTATATTGTTTTTTGTGTTGTGAGCTGCCCTGAGTCCCCTTGGGGAGATGGGATTTTTATTACCATCATCATCACCATCATCATTATCATTATCTGAATGAAGAGCCGCCTAACCTTAACCCAACAGTGAGATGCAACACCATGTTGGCTCTCATGTACCTTAACAACCATGTGATACCGAGTTGCATCTACACTGTCAAATTAATGCAGTCTGACACAACTCAATGCTCTAGAATTATTGGAATTGTACGTAGTTTATAAGGTCTCTAGCCTTCTGTGCTAAATAATGCTGGTGGTGGTCCACCAAACTACGATTCCCAGAACTCCATGGCATTGGGTCAAAATGATGTCAAGCTGCATTCAACTCCTGTTTTGCATTAATATTACAGCGTAGATGCACGTGTTGTCAACAGGCCAAATCTGAACATTGTCCAGCAGAACTCAGAATTGCATAGAGCCATACCAACATTCAAGTAAATAAAGTGAAAAGCATGCCATGTATATGTATTTTTACATATAGACTGGATCTTCCACAAAGTCGCTGCTTGGAAATATATATGGTTAAGGTGTGCAAAGAATCTTGGGAGTGTAGGAAGTAACGACATTAGGCCTTTGGACTGGGAAACTTACAAGATCCTTACAATGATCACACAAGTCATTTCCTCCTATGAAGATCGTTATGATTTTCCAGTCGTTATTGAAATTTATGTTCTGTATTTCAGAAGAAGAGACATAATGAAAAACAAGCATGAACAATACTGAAAACAATGACTTAGAATATATTAATTGAATGGATCTTTCTGGAGCACAGTCCTCTTGTTCTTTTGGACTTGAGCACAACCTAGGAAATCAGGGCTGCACTTCTAAATGAAGTCTGTATGTGCCACTCAATTATGTAAAATATGAAGTCACTCAGTGCTTTATTACTAAAGCAAAGACTAGAAAACACTGCTTGGATATATAGATATATAGATATATATAATTTTGGTTGACCAAATAAAGATACAGATACATTAGTTCCATTGTTTGGACTAACCCATTTTTCCATGATTGAATGGCAATATCAGTCTCATATGGATTTTGGATTTTTTCTTACAGCCAACATATTTATTTATTTATTTACCACATTTGTATACCACCTTGCTCAGCCCAGAGGCGACTCAGTTGGCAACAATTAGATGCCTCAACAATTATAAGCAAATAAAACAATCATAAAATACTGTTAAAAACATTTAGCATGAACTCAATATCTCTTTTCCGTATATAGGTGCTGAAGAACTGAAACTTAGAAAATATCCATAGTGATATAGACTGAGGGATTCAGGAAGTTATAATCTTCAAAAATCTATCTTTCCCAACACTGGAAAGGCAAGTCATCTCTGCTAGATTTAAAGTGTAACGATGAAGAGGCAAACGATGAAATGCAGCCTCAGAAGTGGTTGCAATTATTGGATTACGAGTTCAGTGGGTATATTAGCCCTTCTTTATCTCATGCGTATTAATATGGTACATGAATGATTTGCAAAAGAATACTCACCAGCTGCAATGTGCAATATGATCTACCTGGGTGGCCAAGGGCACTTCCCAATTGGCAGCTAGTTGGGTTACTTAACAGTACGCACTGTGTTTCTGCCTACTCAGCAGGTTAGCAGTCACTCCCTTTCTCCTGGGAATGATAATTCCTCAAATTCCTAGCTTTCTATCAAATCAAGCTAGAACTGGCAGAGAAAATCATATCAATTAAATTGATATAAACTAATTTTCTACATTTACTCAGGACTGTGGTGTTGCAGCGGGATAAACTGCTAAGCTGCAGAATTTGCTGACCGAAAGGTTGGTGGTTTGAATCTGTGGGATGGGGTGAGCTCCCACTGCTAGCCCCAGCTTCTGACAACCTAGCAGTTCGAAAACATGCAAATGTGAGTAGATCAATAGGTACTGCTTCAGTGAGAAGTTAACGGTGCTCCATGCAGTCATGCTGACCACATGAAGTAGGAGGCATCTGTGGACAACACCAGTTCTTCGGCTTAGAAATGGAGATGAGCACCAATCCTCAGAGTCAGGTTTGACTATACTTAATGTCTAGGGGAAACCTTTACCTTTACCTTACTACATTTACTATTATTAAAGCTTAAGTTTGACAATTTATCCTTTGCTAAATTGTGAAGTACTTATAGCCTGGTAATAATTACCACATTCCATGTTTTTCTTAAGAACCCTATCCCCATCACTTTTTCCTTGTGTCTAAATGCTGTACCATCAGCCAAACCCAGTCTCAGGTCTAAATTGCAACTTCATTTATTTTTCTCCCATTTCCTCATTACAGCCAGTTTTTCTACTGTTGCTTTCATTTTTGGGTTGCACATGACTTCTTAGGATGTTACAAATCTAGTCATTTTTTTAAGGTTTCAGGCAAGCGGAAGCAAAGAAAGAACAAGCATCGTCGTCTCCTTAAAGAAATCTTGGTTAATTACAAAAATTGATTAATTAAAGAATGAGTTGGCTACATCCACATTCATTTGTCTACGACTGAAACATAACTTTTGGAAAACAATAATACTGAAAAAACAAGAACAGTGCTAGAGGAATAAAGGCATTTTTCGTTTGTTTTTAAATGTTACACGTATATCACAAAGAGGCATTCCCAATTGCATGAGTGTAAAAACAGGATGTTCTTTCAAAGAAGCTTCTTTCCATGTAGAATCTTTCTAATATACTTCTATTATGAAAATGGGTCTGTTTTTTTTTTACAAAAAAAAATGTGTTGTCCAATTACAGCAACTTGGGATGCTGTTTTAGGCTGGATCTAGACTGCCATATAATGCAGATTGAACTGCATGATCTGTGTCACACAATTTCAGACAGCATTATATGGCAGTGTAGGTATAGCCTTAGGCTTTGTCTACACTAGCCATTTACTGCTGTTTCAAACTGAAACTGAAAAAAGTGGTTTCAATGTGCAGCTGAAAGGGAATCCTGGTGATTATTCAAACCACAGAGCACTAATGCCCAATAAGGGCTAGTTTTGGTTGTTTTTCTGGGTGTCAACACAATTTGAAGTTATTTACTTCATTTATTCATTTATATATCGCTTTTCTCACCCCTGGGGGGACTCAAAGTGGTTTCCAACATATTCACAGCAAAATTCAATGCCTTACAAAACATTAAAACCTAACATAAAACAACAGTAACATAAAACTATCAATTAAATCATAATTCATAACTGCATTTAAACAAGCAATTAAAACATATTAATATAAACATTAAAATCACATGATCCAAAAGCATGGCCCAAAAGTTATCTTTGAACTACATTAAATGGTCAGTGTAGAAGGGGCCTCAGCCAATTAAAGTATTTTAAACCAAATTTCTTCCTCAATTAAAGAGTAACTCTTCACTGTATCTTAAAAATCTATTTCTATCTCTTTCATGCAGCCTTGTAAAACATAATCTATTTATTTTTAAAGATTAAGTCAGCAAAAACTCACAGAATCATTCTTCATCAGTTCTATTAGTCTTCTGGCCTGAGATGGAACACCTCTAAATATAACAAACATAAACATAAAGAAGGGTGTGAGAATTTTATGAGTAGCATGGCAACCTACAATGTCATCCCAAGGAATGTGGGACAAGGAAGTTCACAGATCAATACTGCTAACACAGTATATCATCTCACCAATTGATTAATATGGTGGCAGGGGTTTGTTGTTCATTCGTTTAGTCGTCTCCGACTCTTTGTGACCTCATGGACCAGCCCACGCCAGAGCTCCCTGTCGGCCGTTACCACCCCCAGCTCCCTCAAGGTCAGTCCAGTCACTTCAAGGATGCCATCCATCCATCTTGCCCTTGGTCGGCCCCTCTTCCTTTTGCCTTCCACTTTCCCCAGCATCATTGTCTTCTCCAGGCTTTGCTGTCTCCTCATGATGTGGCCAAAGTACTTCAACTTTGTCTCTAGTATCTTTCCCTCCAGTGAGCAGTCGGGCTTTATTTCCTGGAGGATGGACTGGTTGGATCTTCTCGCAGTCCAAGGCACTCTCAGAACTTTCCTCCAACACCACAGCTCAAAAGCATCGAGGCAGGGGTTTAATACAGATTATTTTGGCCTCAGCCCACAGATGATCCACAAAAGCTGAAATTTGCATTATAACAGATATATAGGATGTACCACTGTTCCTTGAAGTGACTAGCTTGACCTTGAAGGAACTGGGGGTGGTGACGGCCAACAGGGAGCTCTGGAGTGGGCTGGTTCATGAGGTCACAAAGAGTCAGAAGCAACTGAATTAATGAACAACAATACCACTGTTCCTGTTTTTGCATATAGAACACTTTGCAAAGAAGGAAATGCATCTACAGGCACAGAACTGTTCAACACTGTGATTTATTTCCCGCCTATCTCAAAACTAGGATTCAAGGCAGTTCACAACAAGATTACAAACAAGAACATATAAAACCAGATAAAATGTTATCAGACTGGAATGAAAAAACATTGTAACATTAACATGCAAACACATTTGAAAACTACGCTGCAGAGACACAGATACCATCCCACAATTCCTCGCAGCCAAAAGGACTTTCAAAACACCACAGGCTCACCGGATCTATGACCGCCTGGAACGCAACCTCTTAAGAGAGAGAATCCACACCATCCGCAAAGAACTCGCAAACACAGACAAGGAACTGCTGCATCTCCATATCAATATCAGCCAGAAGATGAATTCCCAGGACTGGGACAAAATAGACAATCTCACTTACAGGAAAATGGAGAAAAACATGGTTGTCCACACCAACAGACAAAAACAAAAATTCCACAAACGACAAAAGCAACAGCCGAAACCAGAACTGGATACATCACGGACCATCATCAACCTGACAGACAGACAACTCTCTGAAGACCAAGTATCCATACTAGCGAAAGGAGGAAACTTTGCTGTAACCGCCACCAGGATCCCAGTAGAAAACATCATTGCCAATGTCGAATCAGCAATTTACCGCCTCCCAGAGGAGGAAGCAGAAGAAGTACGAGCGGAAGCAGCAAGGATCCTGAAAAAGGCAAAACTCCCCTCCAGTAACATTACTAGGAAGGAAAGAGAAGGGGAGTCTTTACATATGAAAGATACAGTTGATTCAATGGTTATGCCCTAGTTGGGAGAAATGATAGGATTTTGGAGCTCATCATATGAGGAAGTCAAATCAGAATTACAGCAGGACAACAGCACTTTTGCCTTAAACGTATTTGGGTTTGTAAAAGCAATGCTTTCTATGCTGTTTCACACTGGGAGTGCAGAGAGAAAGAAACAACAGCATGAGATAAATCCCTGCCAAATATGCTGTTCAGTGTTTACCCTCTGTAACTGCAGTTTGCCTGTCTTATGTGATAGTCCTAAATCCCCCTGTGAAATGGCTACACTGGGAACTGCACAAACCCAACCATGAATGGAATATGTTGTTTCACAAGGGCTAAAAAGTTCAGGCTCATGCATGAGGAAACACAAGTACAATAACAACAGGATTTGAGTCACTGTTCCCAATTTCGGTCAACAAACCATCGGCTAAGTAGCCTTTATTTCGGTCAACAAACCATCGGCTAAGTCAAGTGAAAGTAGAACGATGAAATACAACAATTAACAATTAATAACATCACATTTGGCTTATAATTAATAAAAACAAGTATCACCATTCGCTATCGGATGAATGACTGTCTATATAATCTAAAACAGGAACTGACTGCAAATTAATAATAAGTCTCCCAAGTACTCTTTGTTACACTCAGCCTTTACAGGTTATTCATGAAGCACTTGCGGCTTTTTGTCGCTGCAAACAGAAATTTGGCCACCTGTTCCATTACCCTTTTATCAAGATCAGACAGTAAATAAGTACAGTACCAACTTAGGGATCTTCCTGGCCACTTGGTGAGTAGAGGGGATCTTAACCTTAGTCTATCATCCTTGTAAATTGTGCAAATAAAAAGTACATGTATTACAGTTTCAATTTTACCCTGACAGCTCTCCTTGCATGAAGAAGAGAGTGGAACTGGTTTTAAATTTATTTTAATGTATATTTTGTGTTAACAGTTTATGTTTTTGTTTATATTGTATGTTTTTGTATTGTTTTGCATATGTGGAAACTGCTCTGAGTCCCCATGGGGAGATAGGGCGGTATATAAATAAAGGTTTATTATTATTATTATTATTATTGCAATAAATAAATAAATTTGTACGCCGAGGGCAAGTTTTGAGGCCAGAATGGATTTTGATTTGACCCATGAGTAAGGCAAGGGTTTTTCTTCAGAGAGAGGAGAGCACAGGCCTGGGTGGAGCCAGCTGCTCCTAGCCGCAGCTGCCATTTCTCAGCACAGATATTCAAAAAGGACTTTCTTCACTTTACTCACTGAAAGGGATGACTCGTTTTTTGATAAAAGATACAGGATTAAATATAACACAAAGGAACCATCTCCTTCTCTGCGTAGAGTGGTAAAATGGAAGAGCTTAGTTTGTCCCAGGAGAATCTGAAAGAAGTACCAAGGGAGAAGGAGGGAACCTTTGATGCATAAATGTTATTGTGTGGCAATGAAGAGATAAGCACAAGGACTCTGCCAGCTGAGATAATGACGTTTTTGAAAAGCCACGATAAAAATGATAACTGTAAGAGTGATCAGACCTGTACTCTACCATTCTGTGAAATCACCCTAGTCAAAATTACTGTTATTATTTGGTATCAACTTGTAGAGGACAAACTATGTTAGAAACACGCATGAGAAATCACCATATTTCAAAAAAGAAGGCAAACCCCCTTATTTTCTGTGGATGAAACTGCTGGAAAAGAGCTACGTGCCTCCTTAAAAAAAAAACAGTAGCAGAAGTGCACTGGGGAGTATATGTTTAAACATTCTCTACTGCCTAACCTAACGTACATCCCAATGGTGACACTCCTCAAATGCACAGCTGGGGAAACCTTTGCACCTCCAGACACAGTTGGATTACAAATCTCTGCCAACAAAATATGTACAAAGGGCTACCATCAACTTTGGAGCTAGCTGAGCAATTACGGTACCTAAAGCAGAAAGCAAACACACCTTTCTGACAGTGAAAATAAGACAATCAAATAACAGAGCAGCTGCATCTTTATGATAAACAAAAATCAGACTACCTAACATATTCACTTTATTTAGTCGCATGTAATTGTCAATCATTTTAAAGGAAGAACTTAATGTTTTACAGTGGCTTCTGTGACACTGCTACTCCACAGCTCCTCTTTTAATCAACACAGGTGCTTTGTTTTTAGTATTAGTAACATGGGTTCAAATCCAGGAAGTGGGGTGAGCTCTCACTAATAGGCCCAGCTTCTGACAACCTAACAGTTCAAAAACATGCAAATGTGAGTAGATCAATAGGTACCGCTCCATGAAGTTATGCCAGTCACATGGCCTTGGAGATGTCTGCAGACAATGCTGGTTCTTCGGCTTAGAAATGGAGATGAGCACAACCCTCCAGAACTGGACATGACTAGACTTAATGAAAAGGGAAACCTTCACCTTTACTGTGGGCTCTCAGTATCCCCTGACATTTGGTTCCCTGATCCCACCTGGTAGATCAAAAAATCCAGAGATGCTCAAGTCCCATAATATACTATAGCACAGGACAGTGGTTCTCAACCTGTGGGCCCTCAGATGTTTTGACCTTCAACTTCCAGAAATCCTAACAGCTGGTAAACTGACTGGGATTTCTGGGAGTTGTAAGCCAAAACACCTGGGGCACACAGGTTGAGAACCATTGGCATAGGAGAAATTGGTCCCTTTTATAAAATGGCAGGCAAAAAACAAGTGCTGATAAGAGCCTGTGGAACTTTGAATGGGAAAGGGTGACAATAAGATATAGCTACATGTCCCCACATGTTTTAGAACTATGGTTGGTTAAATCTATGAATACAGAGGGTCAAAGCCCCAAATGGCATGCCTACAGGACATCCAAAGGACATCTGCTTGCCCATCTACCAAAACTATGAATTTTCAAATTATATTTTATTAGTGTGCATGATTGTAAATGTGCTTTAATCTTTTGTTCTCTGTCTTTTAATGTATTTTAATGGTATTATATTGCACTCTACTTCAAACCATGAGGAGAGACAGAAAAAGAATAAAATCATCATCATCATCATCATCATCATCTAATGGGGATTTTCCTCTTTTTGTGACATCTGAAACAACATCATAGCAGGGTCTGACAAGAAACAGCGCATGGCCTTGGGCCTTATCCAAACCAAAAGACATCTTGCCCCATAAAGTCCAGATGGATGCTATCTATACTAACCTTCTGTTGGCCAGTAAAGACTTCTTTTTGTTATGGTAGGATTTTTTTCTGCTGGGCAGACAATGTTTTATCTTAGAGTGATTTGCTTTTTTGCTTTTCATTAATTCAGCCTAAAACCTCTGTATTTAGTTATAACTGTTTTAGTTCAAAGTGGGAAAATATGCAACATCCTACAAGGAGAAGCAGAGACAGAGTACTAGGGGCTCCTGGAGTTTTCTCCCTTTTTCTTATTTGACCTGCTGCTTCCTTACCTGGAAAGCAATATGCCCAGATCCGATTTTCTCTCACTCCTCGTTTTCCTGCAGCCTTTGTGCTCATTTACGAGTAACAAGCAGACCCACATCTTTCTCTATCAGACATTTGATTTCTTTAATTAATACTTGTTTGACTTAAGATAATAATAATAATAATAATAATAATAATAATAATAATAATACTTTATTTATACCCCGCCACCATCTCCCCCCAACGGGGACTTGGGGCGGCTTACATGAGGCCATACTTCTTGATCCTTAATCCAAATAGCCAGTTTTGCCATTAAGCCACCCATTTCATATAGTGAGATCCATATATGCCTCTCTCATACACACACTCAATAGTAGTCCTTACTCTGAGCGTGCTCCTGCTACAGCCTGGTTCAAGTAGGCATTTGCTGTGGTCTCTGTTCCTTTGCCAGTGGAAAAGCCTCGCAAAGAAGGATTGAACTCCCGGAGAACATCTGGGGGTGAAAGAAAGAATGAAATTGACTTTGAAGCACACACTCAATTAATCCTAATGAAGATTTGGGGGAAAATAGTTAAATGTCAAGAATGAATAGGATCCCACTAGCAGCAGTAAGTATTATAATGTCATGGTTATATTTAGGAAAACTGTGAGCAGTCTGAAGCTGCTGCATCTCCGAAAGGAAGCAGTATGCAAAGGGCCAATTAAACTGACAATAAAAGTGAAATATATAATATAATATATTCTATATACATATAATATTGATAATAATATCATAATATAATACAATATAATAATATGATATAATAATTATATATTTTATATTACATGTAATATTACTAATAATATTACAGTATAGTGGTACAGTACAATATAATAATATATAATACTATTATTGTGCTATCCTAATAATATAATATGTTATTTGTAAGCCGCTCTGAGTCCCCTTCAGGGTGAGAAGGGCGGGATATAAATGTCCTAAATAAATAAATAAATAAATCCCTTTTTGGTCTGAGGAAAGGTTATAGGTGTGTGACAAAGATACATTTATTGTTATTTGGAGTTTTAAGATCAGTGAAGCTTAAACATGATAGAGCCTTGTCAGATTACGAGCTGTCCATCTTAGGTGGGTAGATGTGTCTCTCATAATACCAGCATTCCAGAACTAATGGCTACCAGTAATACTGGCAGATAGAGCATGGAAAGTTAGTTTTAAGCAGTGTACGATGATAGGGAGAATATAGATATCTATGCCAGTACTCAAGAAAAAATAATGGTGTCTTAATATTTGATTGCGATGCAAATTTCAGTATTAGATGTGGGGTGAAGCATCTGTGGCTGGTATCTTAAAGCCCTATACAGGTCACAGTTTTGAAGCAACATGTTCCAAGCAACGCAATCAACTATAATGGGAATAATAGTGTCGAGGCCTATTAAATATGTTTTTTTTTGTAGACGAGCAGATGGTGACTACTAGATGGCATATGTTCTGTATCAGAAACTGGAGCTGATGTGGTCTATCTAATGCAATTTTCTGAATCAGTACCCCAAATAACCAAACTGAATCTAAAGTTGACCAAAAACAGATTCAGAACCCTTTTGGCACTAATGTTGGAGAGTGGTCCCTGGTCAAAGTGGTCCCTTAATTTAAAAAAAAAGGTTAGGAACCACTGCTCCAAAGGGACAGGAGAAAGGTGATCATACTAGAGTCATAGTAGAGGACCTAGAAATTCCTAAGAGAGTAAGAGCATATTAATAAAATACATGAATAATGAATCCATAATAATTAAACCCAAAAAATCTGGAGGGCTGACTGTACTTTTTAAAGTTTTTTTTTTAGCAGATCTGTATGCCATTCTTCTATAGATGCAAAGGGTTTTTAAAATTATTATTCCCATAGGAAGCCTGCAGTTTGGCATCTATCACCTAAATTATTATTCCCATAGGAAGCCTGCAGTTTGGCATCTATCAGTTTCCCATCTGAAGTCTTAAAGAATCTTTCTTTTTGGGGAGGATAAAAAATGAAAGCATGGAGCCACAAGCATTCAATGGAGATAAATAATAATAGTATCATTTCAAAAAAAAATTCAGGGAGACGATTAAACCAACAGCTTTCCAAACTGTAAGTTGTAACACATTCATGTATCATGCAAACATAACAAGAAATGATAAAAACCTTGGAAATACATGACATATATATATTTAAATATAAATGCAAATTTTCATGAGATATGTTGTGCCCCCATACATTTTGTTATTTTAATTTATGAATGTGTTCATATCTTTTTCAAGGGACTGGTTTAATCTCCAGTTTGATAATAAAACTGAATTACTGTGTCACGAAATGGTGCATGTCCACAGCGTGTGTTTCACCAACATGAAATATTTGTAAAGTTCTGAACTAAGACTAGGAGGAAATGATAAAACATGTTATTAAGCAAAACACAGCCTAAGCCCAACCCCAATCCAATTGTTTAATAAACCTGTTGTTAAGTTGTAGTCCATAGATTGCTCAGCAAGTTTCACAAACATGCCATATTGTACAGAAGTAGGCAGGCACTTACTTGCTAATGTTGTGACTGTGTTTATGTTCTCATTTCCACCAACACTGCAGAGGGGAGGAGGAGAGAAAAGCAGAAATTGAGCAGCATGAAGGGCTTTTCTTTGGAATAAGACACAGAGTGCCCCCTGGTGATGTTTCAAATCTTCAACAAACTCTTCCTATTTTATATTCCGGTTTCTAAACTTATCTGTGTATTTATTTATTTATTTATTTATTTCTCTTATTTATTACTCTTACATTCTGCTCTTACATTGAGGCCCAGCTCCAAACCAACTCAGTTTTAGCATTGCTGTAGTGTGAAGTACTGTCAGCTCTTTTATAATATCCATGAAACAAGGACTGGCAAAATGATCCATTTTGGTACCAGATCACAAGAACAAAGGGAACTGTAATTGCTCCTGGCAGAGTGCAACATATAGCTGAGAATACATTACATTCACTTGGACTTTTACAAAACTTAGGGCAGTCATAGTTTACTCTGTTTATGTATCACAATTTCTCTTGGAATGCCTGCATTACAAGTTGTGTATCCCTTATGCTTATGATCAGAAATGTTTTGGATTTATTTGGGTAGAGGGTGATTTTTGAATATTTACATTTATATCTTAGAGCTGGGACCCATATCTAAACAAAAAAATTATTAATGTTTCATCACATTTTATACAAATGCTCTGAATATTTTAATACTTTTGTGCATGAAAAAAAAGGTTTATGTACTTTGAGTCATAAGAAAACAAAAGCATTCCTGTCTCAACCATCCATGTGAAAAATGTAGGAGAATGTTGGATTTCCAGATAAGGGATGCTTAATATGTATCATTATCACCCTCATCAATATAATTGTAATAGTTTATAGATTCCCTTTCCCCAACATTGAGAATTGAGGTAGCTTACATATTAAAATAGTTACAACATAATATTGTGGAAAATGCACAAAAGATAAAATCACTTCTAAGCAATTCGAAACATATATTTTTAAAAAGATATATTGGTGCATAATAGTTAAATACACTGTGTCTGAAGCCTTGCAATGTTGCATACAGAAGGAAAGAAGTAGGAGTGCTTGCGTTTTGCCATTTATTTTTAAAATGCATAATATATATTGGTAATTAGGTGTAACATTAATATCAAGATCTTATTGACTTATTTATATAGATTCCTCCTACTTAATTCCAAAGATAGGCTATGATGATGTTACCCTCTCCCAATCAAAACTAAGGTTTTAAAAAAGTCTTCAAGAGGGCAAATTAGGGCCCTTCCACACTGCCCCTATATCCAAGGATCTGATCCCAAATTATCTGTTTATCCCAGGTTACAGTATCTGGCAGTGGGGACTCATGTTGGGGCTCAGCAAGCGGCTTGGGATTTTTCTGATGTTTCAGAGGATGAGGGAATAATGGATTTGAAAGTGAAGTGTCCACTAGTGATAAGGGAAAATTGCAGGCCGAGGAGGCCGCCATTTGGGATTCCTGTGTCCGTTCCCAAGCAACAGAAAGTGAAGATTTTAATTTCATTGGGAAATGGCCTTTGGCTGATGAGGAGTTTTCCTGTAAAGCCAGATTAGGTCTCTGGACAGAGGGAGTAAAAAATAGATTAGACATTTTGAGAGACTCCATGAGAAGGCCTTGAAGCCCAGGCGTGTTCGTCATGATCTCATGGCTTCTTGATTGGGCTTGGGCTTAAATTAAGTGATGTTTACTTGGAGGAGACAAAGTTTCCATAAGGATGATGTTTCTGTCTCGGCTCTCACATTCATGATCCAAGTTTCCTTTGTTTGCCCATGTTCCTGGAAAGGTTTTGGAAAAACCAAAATATATCCTTTCTAGGCCGGATTGCAATGGTAAAAATGGTAATTCTCCCACAATTATTATTCTTATTCCAAACTATCCCGGTGATTAGGAACAACTACTTATTCAAAAGATGGAACACAGATATAACAAAATTTATATGGAAAAATAAAAAACCAAGAATTAGTATGAAGATATTAACGGATGATAAGAGAAGAGGTGGCCTGGGTTTACCAGACATTAGAGTTTATTATGAGGCTTGCAACTTAGTTGCAATCAAAGAGTGGGCCACACTAAAAAACAATCAAATATTAACCCTGGAAGGTTATGATTTAAGAGCCGGATGGCACAGCTATCTGTGGTATGACCGAAGGAAAACAGAGAAAAATTTTAGCAACCACTACTTAAGAGCAGCCCTTATTAAAACGTGGGAGAAATATAAAGCCAGACTATTCAGGAAGACCCCATTGTGGATATCATTAGTAGAAGCAAAACACAAAAGAGAACTTGCAGAGGAAAACTGGCTAACATATCACCAAATACTCAGAAAAAACGGAGAAGGTACAATGGCACTAAAATCCTATGAAGAAATAAAAAAAATAAACGGGAAAATCACATGGCTAAATTATTTTCAGATTAGGGAGGGCTTCAGGAAGGATGAAAAATTAGGATTTGAACAAGAAAAAGGGACCTGGGATATTATTATGGAGAAAAATAAAAAATTAATAAAAATACTATATAAACAATTGCTACAGTGGAGTACAGAAGAGCAAGTTAAAGAATGCCAAATAAAATGGGCAAAAGATCTAGGCCATAACATTCTGTTGAGCCAATGGGAAGAAATTTGGACAACAAAAATCAAATATACCATTGCCAGCGATCTCAAAGAGAACTGGTATAAAATGTTTTTTCGCTGGCATTATACGCCTGAGAAATTAGCGAAGTTCAACAAAAGCATTTCAGACAAATGCTGGAAATGCGAAAAAAAGACAGGCACATTTTACCATCAATGGTGGACCTGTGAGAAAATTAAAAAATATTGGAAAAAAATACATCAGACTACCCAAAAGATACTGAAGGTAAATTTCCCACAAGCTCCAGAAACATACTTATTAGGCATACAAAATGAATCTAAAATGAATAAGAACCAAGAAAATTTTTTATTCTTATTATGCACAGCGGCTAGAATAGTTTTAGCAAAGAAGTGGAAGCAGAAAGAAACACCGTCTGAGGAGGACTGGATCATGAAGGCATTTGATATTATACAAATGGACAATTTATCGCAGAGAATAAATGGCGCAATTGAAAGAACGGACTGGACAGACTTTAAGGACTTTATGAAAACAAAAGAAATACCTATTGTTCTTGACCTGACCCACATTTAAAAAGGAAAGGAAGAAAGAAGACTTGTCGGCAGACAGGGAAGGGAAGAAACTATTTCTACACTGAATGATAAAGATTCCTGGAAGACCCTGGGAAGTCACACAATGGACTGCACGTTTTTTTTCCCCTCTCTTTTTTTCTCCTTCTCAAACACCCCCCCCTTTTCTGCCCCTACGCCTTTGTTGTATTGTTTGATTGTTACAATATAAAAAAATCAATAAAAAGTATTTAAAAAAAAAAAAGAAAGGTTTGCCTTGGAAAATTCCTGCTTTCATGCTTGTGGATTTATGCCTTAGTTTTTGGCTCTCTTGACTTCATGTACTTTGCCATTTTGGATTGCTACTATTTTGTATATAGATTGCTTCTATTTTGTATCTCCTTCTCTACTGCTCTTTTGGGAAATGCCCCCTTCCCCTTTGTACATGTTTTTCTGAATAAACTTCTGGTGTGGTGCTGAGTGAAAAGGTGTCTCAAGGCGAGAGTGCAACAACTCACATATTCCAGTTTAAAGCAGATACTCTGGGATTAGTTCCTGGGATAAAGGGCAGTGTGGAAGGTCCCTAAGAGGCGCTGCAATAGAAAAAATGGTGGAAGGGGAGAAGCTAAACACCTCCTCGTATAACTTTTCTCTTAAATATTGGCATTCCTCCTCCTGAAATAATTGTTATTCTATCCCAAGGAACAAAGTTCTACTTTTAGCTTTTATTCTGACTACTACAGACCCATTGATTCCATTAGATTTATCAACATATTGACTCACAATTAAGCAAACAATCAAGTGGGTTTAATATAGTTGGGATTCAACAACTGCATGCCAAACAAGTGTAAAGTCAGTGTTTCTTTTCACCTTCCAGAGGAACAGATCATTGTTAACAGAATACAAAACATTCTGGAGAAACTGGAGGAGTTTTTTTTAATCTATATCCAATTTCCAATCCTCTCACCCCCTTTGGATGCTATTTTAGAGAACCTGTCATTATTAAACAATGCATGATGAGCAAAAATGAATTGCTGTTTGCTTTTTAAAGTGAGGTTGGAGGGAGAAAGGTTCTGGAACTTGAAAAGAGCCAGATCTTAGAGGAATTAGTTTTAGACTATAAACTCTGGGATTCCCCAGTCAGCAAGACTCAGGGATCTGGAATTTTGGGAGCTTTAGTCCAAAAAAATTAAGTAATTTCCCAAAGTTCGAAAATAACTACATTATGGATGCGCAAGAGATTGAGAGCGTCAATCTCTTGTGCATCCTGTGATATCACAACAGCATCCTGGATAATACAACCTCTCTTTTTTTAGTAAATAAAGTGACTGATGCCTGTTCTAGCAACACAACTTCAGGTTTGCATTAAAGAAGCTGCTGGCTGGGATCAAAAGAACAATCAAACAGATTTCAGGTTCATCGAGGAATTTGGTGTACGGTACTCACCTCCATGAAAGGCCTCGGTATTGTGTTAAAACATCTAAAACATTTAATCGTCCTGATCCTGCTCCATTTCCTGCCTAATGAAGAGAAAGACAAAAGCGATTTAGAGCCAGAGTAATTCCAGTGCAGCATTACTGCAAGGAGAAACTGCCTGCAGACTCACAAAGACATAACTGATCCTTTATAAATACGTCCCGGTTTTTTCCACACAGTTGAATAAAATCTCACTTTTTTTTCTTGCTTTGAACTGGGATATATGGCAATATGAACTCAGATAACCCAGTTCAAAGAAGGTATTGTGGGATTTTCTGCCTTGATATTCTGAGTTATATGGCTGTGTGGAAGGACCCTAAGAGCCTTTTAAAACCTGTTGCTAACCTGTCTGCTTCATAACACAATAAAGGAAAAATGAAAAATAAATTCTGTCCAAGTTTAATTTAAAATAAAAAATGTGGAAATGATCAAATAAAAAATTAAATTTATTAAAATATTCTTTATCACCCATGTAAAGAATAATGCGGAAACATGAAATGATAAGCGTATTGCACTGAAGTGACACGATGACACTGTGTCACTCTGTAGTAACAACAAACCAGAATTCAATGACTTGTTATAATGGGGAAAAGGTCACTCATTACTTTCTATTATGTTCTTAGGAGGAAAAATAATCTTAGCATTGTTAAGGGAAATGCATACATCTTGAAACATTATTTGTCAAAATGCCTCTGAAAATTGGATGTTGCCTACCAATTCTAACTGTGTTACCTTGATGCCATTTTATGCTTCTTTCCCAATCATGGTTTGGTTGGCGTGATTTTAAAGTGATGTTATAATAATTGATGCTTTAACTGTTTGGTTTTTATATTGTAATTGTTTGTTTTTATGGACATATGTGTGT